TTCCATGCGGAGTTCGGGACGTTACCGGATCGAGCGTGGCGGTTGCAACTTCGTTGGAAGAGCAAGAAAACAGCTTCGCAAATTGGTTGGGATAAATTGGGTTTGATACTTTACGTTGATCCTACTTTACATGCCTTTGTGGATGTATGGGTTTCTCAGGCACCCAGTATTAAACAGTATATATATATATATTATATGTATATAATAATAAATACATAAATAGATAGATCAATAAATATGTGTATATATATATACATATATATATATATATACATATATATATATACATATATATACATACAATGGCATTATCACAGAGGTACCGGCTTGGTATAAGATTCTCCCAGCGCCAGGACATGCCGATCCTGAGCCACCAGGATGATGGCTGAGTTCCAGCGCTTCCCACCTACTGTTGATGGATCTAAGTCTCGAAGCCCCCAGGGTCTGGAAGGTTGGGAAAGCGGTTTGACATCAGGGTCCTGTCCATCGCGGAGTGATGCATGCTATGCTGCAAGCTGAAAGGCAATGCCATGCAATGCTCCTGCCTAGCTTGATTGCAACTTTTCATTGTTTGTGATGTCCGTAGTACCATTTGGGAAGTCTGTAGTATCCAGGTAGGGACTTGGAGCCTTGGAGCCATCAACAGTATCTTCCCATTTAGTGCGCCGGTGCCAGCGGGATCGCCCCAGACATGCCTAGATGAAAATGGGGGCGACGAATCGCCACAAGACATTTGCGGTGCCGATTTCACTGCATTTTGTGAAGGTATTACACATCATATAGTCCTCTAAGTACATAGCAGTCCTCTTTTTGTGTCCCTTGGTTTTTCTTGAGAACAAAGAATCTGGCTACCCTCTGGTAATTTCTCATAGCTATTGAAAATGGTGATTTTCCATAGTTATGTTAGTTTACCAGAGGGTATATCATTGGTGATGTGGCAGTGAAGTTTTCCAGAAGTCATCAGCCATGGGGTGCCCTCTCCGTGACGCGGCTCAAGGGATGCTCTGCCCCGCCGTTTTCTGGCCATGGCTCCAGGACTTCAGGGTCTTTGTCTGTCGCATTTACCCCAAACCTCCCCAAAAAACAGTGGAAAGTGATAGAAATCAGGTATTATAAGTGTCTGTGATAAGAAAAGCAACAGACCCATAGATGATGATGAGTATGTTGATGTGGATTTCCTGATGGATATGATGAATACCCAGTGTGAAAATTGTAATGAACCATTGGTTATTGATTTTGAAGATGGCAAGGTTTCATCAAATATTAGTTGCCAAAGATTAAATAATGAACTGGCACATTATAAAAGCAACTGTATTCCAATGTGTGTTCAATGTAATTGCGCTTTTTCAAATAAAATATCAATGTAAAATGATTTTAAAGAGATGGTATGTTTAGGATATATGGAGAACAATAAGTATGAAATATGAAAAAGGAAAAATATATTTAATTACAGATGTTGCTTACACAAAGTGCTACTACGGAAGCACTTGTGAAGAATTGAGCAAAAGATTTTGGAGACATAAAGGTGTCTATAAAACCTTTTCAGACGGCAAGTGTTCATATAAACATTCAATTTGTCAGTTATTTGATGAATTCGGAGTAGAAAACTGTAAAATAGAACTGGTAGAACTGTTCCCGACCCAATCCAAGATTGAACTATTACAAAGAGAAGGCTATTACATCAAAAACAATGCTTGTGTCAATAAAGAAGTGGCAGAAAGAACACCGCAAGAATATTACAAAGACAACAAAGAAAAGTGCGCCAAGTGGAACAAAGAATGGCATATCAAAAATAAAGACAATGCCAATGAAGAGGAAGAAACAACTATCATAAAAACAGAGACAAGTTGATGTCAATAGTTGATTGTGATTGTGGTAGTTCTTTTCAACTTCAAAATAGGTCGCACCACATCAAGACAAAAAAGCACCAAGACTGGCTGAAGCAACAAGAGCAAGAATAAATGATATAATATATACTTATTATATCATCTATTCTATAATGAGTGATAAACAGAAGATTATTAGTGATATTTATTTTGATAAAGCGGGCTATGGTTCAAGAAAGACCACATTAGAAGATGCTAAAAAGAAAGAACCTACAATCAAGAAAGAGGATGTTGAACAATTCTTTAGAAAGAATGTAGAAGTCAAAGCAAAGCCCAGAGGGATGAATTCCTTTGTAACACCAAAAAATAATCATACTTATCAAATAGATTTGTTCTTTATGGGATATTATGATTTTGAGAAAGAACAAAAATTCAGAGGAGGGTTAGTGTGTATTGATGTTTTGAGCAAGCATGCCGTTGTTGTTCCAATCAAAACTAAAAATGGAGAGGATGTGCTTGAAGCAACTAAAGAGGCATTAGGGAAAATGGGTAAGAAGCCTAAAATGATTTATACAGATGATGAGAGAGTAATAGCAGGTGAAGACTTTAAGGATTATGTGGAAGGTGAAGGTATAACCTTACATAGGACAAGAGGTCATCCCGCTTTTGCTGAGCGTTTTATACGCACCTACAAGGATATGCTTTTTAAAAGAGTAGAGGCTGATGAAAAAAGGGTAAGGCAAACATACAATGGGTTGATTACAATTTAGAAATAATGCTTACATACAATGATAAAATGAAGCATTCCGCTACAGGTATGACACCAAAAGAGGCAAGGAAAGATAACAATGAATTCAGAGCAATGCTGAATGTAGCATCAAAGGCAAAGAAAGAAAGAATATACCCAACATTAGAGGTGGGAGACAAAGTAAAGATAATGAGAAAGAAAGCAATTACAGAGAAAGAAAGAACTTCCCACTGGCTGAATGGTTATTATGTTGTGCAAGAGGTTGCAGAAAAGTTGAACCAAAAATATTACAAATTAACTGAGGCATGAACTTTTAAAGATTTAGTGTTTTAGAAAGCCTTGTAAGCATATTTTCCCATACTTATGCCTACTTGATGCAACCATGAGATGGTTGATTTGATGTGCTGTTTTGATTTCAGGGTTTTGTGTCTTGCCCTTCATTTGTTTTCCCCATGAATTTGTGTTTGGCACGTTTGGGTCATTGGCTGGGATTACTCTATGTTCCTTTGTCCTTCTGCCCCGCCTTGGCTTTGTCATCAATCTCTTCTTCATCCTGCTGTCGGGGCGCCCAGCTGTTGGGAATATGTCAGTTGGAGGTTTGAAGCCACATATTCTTGGAGAGCTTGGCCTTGGAATGTGTTTCAATTTGAGCATCTTTGACATTCTCAGTTGGAAAGCTACAGAAATTAGCTCTTTCAGTTTGCGCTTGGAATTTTGTGTCATTCTTCAGCATCTTTATGTTCTTCCGTAGCGTTTTTGCGAGTTTTTCCTCAAGCCACTCAGGGACGCTTTTTAGCTCAGGGGTGTCGGCATTGCCATGGCGCTCAAATCTGGTGTATTCGCTTGCCTCATCCTTGCATTGTGCGTGAGCTGCAACAACGTCATGGCAGAGGAGAACTCCGGCAAGGAGACTGAGAAGGGCGGCATCATCGTCGGCCGCGGCCTCCCGATTGAGACTGAGAAGAGTGGAGTGCCCTTCCTCCCTCGGTCGGAGAACCTCGAGGAGACTGAGAAGGGCGGCATCATCATCCCCCGCGGCCTCCCAATTGAGACTGAGAAGAGTGGAGTGCCCTTCCTCCCTCGGTCGGAGAACCTCGAGGAGGCTGAGAAGGGCGGCATCATCATCCCCCGCGGCCTCCCAATTGAGACTGAGAAGAGTGGAGTGCCCTTCCTCCCTCGGTCGGAGAACCTCGAGGAGACTGAGAAGGGCGGCATCATCATCCCCCGCGGCCTCCCAATTGAGACTGAGAAGAGTGGAGCGCCCTTCCTCCCTCGGTCGGAGAACCTCGAGGAGACGGAGAAGGGCGGCATCATCATCCCCCGCGGCCTCCCAATTGAGACTGAGAAGAGTGGAGCGCCCTTCCTCCCTCGGTCGGAGAACCTCGAGGAGACTGAGAAGGGCGGCATCATCATCCCCCGCGGCCTCCCAATTGAGACTGAGAAGAGTGGAGCGCCCTTCCTCCCTCGGTCGGAGAACCTCGAGGAGAAGGGCGGCATCATCATCCCCCGCGGCCTCCCAATTGAGACTGAGAAGAGTGGAGCGCCCTTCCTCCCTCGGTCGGAGAACCTCGAGGAGACTGAGAAGGGCGGCATCATCATCCCCCGCGGCCTCCCAATGAAGAGTGGAGCGCCCTTCCTCCCTCGGTCGGAGAACCTCGAGGAGAAGGGCGGCATCATCATCCCCCGCGGCCTCCCAATTGAGACTGAGAAGAGTGGAGCGCCTTTCCTCCCTCGGTCGGAGAACCTCGAGGAGACTGAGAAGGGCGGCATCATCATCCCCCGCGGCCTCCCAATTGAGACTGAGAAGAGTGGAGCGCCCTTCCTCCCTCGGTCGGGGAACCTCGAGGAGACTGAGAAGGGCGGCTCCCTCGGTCGGAGAACCTCGAGGAGACTGAGAAGGGCGGCATCATCGTCCCCCGCGGCCTCCCAATTGAGACTGAGAAGAGTGGAGCGCCCTTCCTCCCTCGGTCGGAGAACCTCGAGGAGACTGAGCCGACTGAGCCCTACTTTCCTCGGTCCGAGAACCTCGGCAAGGAGACTGAGAAGAGCAGGGACGCCCCCACTTACCCATGAGTGGGCGAGATCGAGCACGCATGATGACTTGCAAAACAGTTCTTTGGTTTGCCAACAACAGGGCGACTTACAAAGCAGTGCTTGCGTCGCCAACAGGGCGACTTACAAAGCACGTGCTTGCTTTTTGCAAAATAGTGCTCTTAGCAGATGCTTTTATGATTGACAAGGTCTGTAGGTAGCAAGGTTTCAGGGTGTCAAGTAGGAATAGGACATTGCTTCAATAGAGCATTCATGCCAGTGAGCCTTCGCAAGCTTGACATTCAGTGCATTCATGCCTGATACAAAGACAAACCCTTCCAAAAACTTGAGAAGACTGTCACCAACAAGTCTGGGACGCACACCACACAAATCTTTTTCACTCCATTTCGCCCCAAAAGTTTGGATCGCTGTGCCATTTACATCGCACTGAGGTTAAGAAGACATGGTTATCAACAAGTTTATGAAGGGCGGTTTGGGCATGGTAATTGCGGTAATTTAAAGAGATATGTTGAGAAAGATATTGGCTGGGGGCTGAGGCTTCCCCTATAGGGGGAGACTGTGGTAATTAATCCCTTAATCTTCATAGTAAATGATTATGAAAATTATGTTGGTTATCCCCATAAATTTGAAGTGATGATTATGAAATTCAAACTCAAAATTACAAGAGGCACGCAAACACTTTGAAGCATGAGGAGAATTTGAAGAAGAATGATAGTTAAATTTCTTTTTATAAAAGTGAAATTGTCTTTTGTTTTGGTTTGTTGTTATGGTTTTTGGTATAGTCTATTTTATAATCTATTGTATTGCTTATGTTGTTTTGTTTTTTCTTTTTGTTGTTTGTTGTTCTGACCTGATTTATGTTATTGTTTTCTATAAGGTATTGCTCCCCTGTCTTTGGTATTAACCCCATAGAATTTGCTTGTATAATAATGTGGGCGGTTAGATGAGAAAGACGGGGGAGCCCATTGCTAACTATATCAGATCACTATCACATGTTCCAGTCACACTTCGCGATGTTAGGCGGCCATACCATCCATCCCAATTGCGAGTGACGATCTTCCCATGAATTTCAATTTGTTGGAACATGTTGGATCTATCATGATCTAACCCAATTTGTTGGGGTATCATGATCTATCATGATCTAACCATATCTAACCCCAACCTAATAAGATCTAATAACCAAAACAGCATGACTGGCTGCTTCACCATCTTTCACCGCATGGGATGTCCCCACGATGGAGCCGGAATCCCATCCAGGTTCGCAGGCGTCGTGCTCTTGCAGCCTTGAGAGTTGAGGAGGAGCGATCCCAACATGATTCGTCCTCTGTATATTTGGGGATTTTTCCAAAGGTACTAAGCTTCGGGATGCAATTCCATGTATACTATATATATATTATAGATATAGATCAAGAATGATCAAGAAGGTTTTGTTTCGCAAAGGATGAAGTGCCAGTTGAGTTTCAGCATCCACCAGCTGCAAGCAGTATTTTCCTTAAGTGACAACACCATTTATGGCGCTCTCTTGAAATTCGGGATCCACCACCCAATCTGGAGGTAACCCTACCAAAGCAAGTCAGATTGGTTGAATTCGGGGTACAAACTTTAAGAAAGAATCGATCAAGATGAAAGTGAAGGACTGAAGACGTAGTTCCAACATCCATTGTGCAGACAGGGAATGACTTAGCCACCACCATCATCCACCCCTCATCTGCCAGCAGAATCTTCATGTTTCGGTATTGACCCGAGACAAAGGTTGGGTCCCGAGTTCAAGATTACGTTCAGTGGACAACTGCAGCACTTCTCAGCTTGATTTCTCACACGCCGCCTTTCCATGGCATGTGCCGGCACACTGGTTGTCCGCGACGTGTCCAGCGTGCATTGCTCAAAGAATTGTGTTGAGTACACAGTGGAAGGAGCGCCCTTGGAGAGTTTGTTTGGTGACTGTTGGATACTGTTGGTTCCAAACATTTTTTCACCCTACGAGCAGCAATAATTCCCAGTTTAGGCCGACAGCTTACCATGTTGGGCCGTGCAGGAAGCCCAGCTTCGTTTACTTGGCCCGCTGGAGAATCAACTCATCGTGCACTGCTCGTGCGTGGCCGGGTTTTTCAAGGCACTGAGGCGCGCAGTGTCGACTACCATTGTTCAACTGCAACAAGTCTTCAGATGTTTCGAGAGTCTAAGATTTTTGTGCCCACCGGTTAATATAGAGGGCGGCACCCCGTGGGGGAGTGAATTTTCATTAAAAATGATGATAAAACACTGTAAATACCGATGTTTTATGCATTTGGAGGGTCTAAAACCCTAGTAAAACACACTTTTTTCATCATGATCTTGACATGAGATATACAAAAACATTGACAGGCACCAAAAAAAACAAAAACAACAAAACCACTAGATGCACCAAACATCGACAGGCACCAAAAAAAACAAAAAAAACAAAAATTCCAGCAACTACTCAGAAGTGTACCCATAGTTCCTGGAAATTTTTGTTTTTTTGTTTTTTTTGGTGCCTGTGCAGGTTTGGTGCATCTAGTGGTTTGTTTTTTTTTGTTTTTTTGGTGCCTGTGCAGGTTTGGTGACTCTGACTTTACAAAACATTGACAGGCACCAAAAAAACAAAAAAAAACAAACCACTAGATGCATCAAACATCGACAGGCACCAAAAAAAACAAAAAAAACAAAAATTCCAGCAACTACTCAGAAGTGGACCCATAGTTCCTGGAAATTTTAGTTTTTTTGTTTTTTTTGGTGCCTGTGCAGGTTTGGTGCATCTAGTGGTTTGGTTTTTTTGGTGTTTTTGGTGCCTGTGCAGGTTTGGTGACTCTGACTTCACAAAACATTGACAGACACCAAAAAAAACCAAACCACTAGATGACACCAAAAACATCGACAGGCACCAAAAAAACCAAAAAAACCAAACAATTCAAGCAACTATCCGAAGTGGACCGATAGTTCGGGAAATTGTAGTTTTTTGGTTTTTTTTTGGGCCTGGCAGGTTTGGTGGGCATCTAGTGTTGGTTTTTTTTGGTTTTGTGTTGTGCAGGTTTGGTGAACTCTGACTTCACAAAACCATTGGCAGGCACCAAAAAAACCAAAAAAAAACCAAACAACGAGTGCACTGTAAACAATCGACAGACACCAAAAAAAACAACAAAAACCAAAAATTCCAGCAACTACTCAGAAGTGGACCATAGTTCCTGGAAATTTTAATTTTTTATTTTTTCCTTTGCAGGTTTGGTGCATCTAGTGGTTTGTTTTTTTTGTTTTTTTTGGTGCTTGTGCAGGTTTGGTGCATCTATTGGTTTGTTTGTTTTTTTGATGCCTGTGCAGGTTTTGGTGATTCTAGATTGTGTATGTTTGGATCTTGGCCATATTTTAAACTTATGTTTCAAAGAAGCAAACATACCGTTATCTTTGAATAGATGGTTAAAGATGTATCGAATATATGTTAAGATGATATCAATCTAACAAGTTCATGAAGAAACACCTATATCATATCAATTGCTTTTAGCAATAGAATTTCTCCATCACCTCCATCACACTAGTCACCTATTGCTACTCTATATTCTGTTCCAAGATGTGCAGCTACCCATTCTTATGGCATGTTGTGCAGCAGATGTTTTCTGTTATGTGCTGATTGTTTGTAGTTCTTTGCAAGCCTCACAGGAAAAATTGAATCCTGCCACAAGAGTCTGTAAATGCCAGTGATTTATGACAGCATATGAGAGCCTTTGGAGGTGAACTCTATTTTTTGCTCTAAAATAACGGTTTTAAGCCCACTTTGGTCACAAAACACTGTAAATACCAGTATTTTTGACCATTTCTAGAGCAAAAATCACTCCCCCATGAGGGGCCGTTCTGGAAATATATTGGGCAATCATATATTCAATATAATTTTCAATAATGTCTCTAGGCCTATGGATCTTATGACATGTTATAGTTGTAGTATGTTATGACATGTTATACCTGTTCCACCCAATGCCATAATCCTACCATTAAAATTGGAAGGTGCTCCACTGGCAGACCGTGGCTTCAGAGCTTTGGAAGGTGCCGCTGGATCTTCCACAGCTCCGCAACTGGGTCACACTTGGAATATGCTCAAGTCATGGTTGAAACCAAATTTTGAACCAATCTATATTGGATATTTTTCTACGATGATTCCCAATAGATGATAAAATCCACATAATATAATATATATATAATATATATATAATATGTACATCTATATTGTTTATTTATGGAGGGCTATTTTTTTGTTTTTTTTTCCCGTTTTTTTTTTTATTTTTTTACCCGTTTTATGAGTGAAGAAAAGAAGGAAGGAAAGAAGGAAGGAAGGAAGGAAGGAAGGGAGGGAGGGAGGGAGGGAGGAAGGAAGGAAGGAAGAAATAAACCTTAGCCTACACAAACCCTAAGCCAACCCTAAATAAACTTAAACCAACTGTAAATAACGCCCTAAACCAACACTGAATAACCCTTAAGCCAGCTGCAAAGAACTCCTAAACTAACCTTAGACAAGTTTAAAGGAACCAAATAACTCCTAAACGAACCTTAATTAAGTTTAAAAGAACCAAACCCTAAACCAACCCTAAGTAAACCCCAAACCAACCCTACTTAACCCCTCAAAAAGCCGCAAACCAACCCCAGAGAACCCCCTAGACCAACCTTCAACAAACCCTAAACTAACCAAAGCCAACCCTCAACAAACCCTAAACAAACCAAAACCCAACCATAAATGCATTTCAAACCAGCCACAAATAACCATTAAACAAACCCTAATCCAACCCTAAAAAACACTGAAACTAGCCCTAAACCAAGCCTGAACCAACCCTAAATAAACCCTAAACCATCCCTAAATAACTCCAAACAAACCCTAAACCAACACTGAATAAACGAAAGGAACCTAAGCAACCCCTCAACAAACCCTTAACAAACCAAAAACCAACCATAACTGCATTTCAAACCAGCCACAAATGGCCATTAAACAAACCCTAATCCAACCCTAAAAAACACTGAAACTAACCCCAAACAAAGCCTGAACCAACCCTAAATAAACCCTAAACCATCCCTAAATAACACGAAACAAACCCTAAACCAACCCTGAATAAACCTTGAAGCAACCTAAGCAACCCCTCAACAAACC